GACTTCACAACTAACAACAACAACAACAAAAGCAAAAGCAAATGGAGAACTTTAAATTCAGTTTTAATGAATGTAAAGAAAGTGAGGAAATAGGCTGGCTACATATTTTAGTAGTGAGTGAATAATTTTCTATAGAATAAAATAACCCCCACCCCAAAAAAAACAAGTGGAAACCAGGGAAGAAGATTAGTGTAGTCAAGAAGGAAAGAAGCAATATTTTTAATCATAGGGTCTGTATGGAATGGTGGGTTCTTTCAATTTTTAATAGATTATATTTTAAAGACTACAACTCTTAGGTTTCAATTGACCTTGACTTGATGTTTCATTTTTAGATGTCATTTTTATAAATAAGCAAGGGTTCTTGGCATTTTAGTTTTCAGTATTTTTAATGCACAATAGCCATAGATATCATGGCATTTGCTCTTTGTCCTACAAACAAAGCCATTCCTTTCTCTTGCATGTTTGATTTTGTATATTTGAACAGATGTAGCTTGCTTCTGTATTCCTGATTAGACTGAATACCATGTGGTACCTTTTGGCTTGTTCATAATAATAGATGTATTTGTTAAGGAATGTCTGGTGATACTGATGATGATGATAGTGTGTGTGTGTGATGTAGGTACATACACACACACACACACACACACAAATACAAATCCACCTTAAAGTGAAGGAACCTAAGAAACGCTTGAAAAAAACATACTTTTTCTCTTACAAATTCATCTCACTTAGTACACATAGTACAAATACACAGACAAATCTGAGGTCTTTTATTCTTTTTACTCTTTAATGACCTCCTCAGTGAGAGCCAAGTTCATGCTGGTAAAATTCAAAACTGAATGTTTGTGTCAACCTCTGTCTCAAAACCACATGAATAAAGAGCAAAATGCCATGCTTTTATTGCCAGGATGTATTTGCTGCTATAGCCATAACTTCACTTAACAAAACATCCAATAAGCTGGTCTTTGCAAAAGACATTTTCCTTTCTATAGCAAGGCCCCTGAGCTTTAGAGAAAGATGGGTCATAGGAGTGAATTACTTTGCTGACCCCCTGGGATTTGTTTTGGTCCATATCTGGCACAACTGTAAACTAAATCTTCCTTAGATTTTGTGCAGGGATAAGAAAAAGAAATTGATGGTGTCTCTTTAGATCAAGATGCAATCCCTCTACTTTCATTCATTCACTGCAGCCACAGAGGCACAAATCTGAAGGGAAAAAAGGAGTCTTGACTGTGCTCTGTCTCCATTTTAATTGGGAAATAGCAAATACAAGGATAAACAAAGGTTCTGCTATGTACGTGTGTTTTCACCTGAATGCCCAACGGCTTCTTATGATGGTAGATAATAGTTTCTATTTTAACTTTTTCTTGATCAGAGCTAGTTGAGTGAATTCAAAGAAACAGTAGCTGCCCTAGGCTAGATGCCCTTAGAGCAGGGGTGTCAAACTCAAGGCCCGTGGATCCGGCCTGCACAGCCCTCTGGGCTTCATTTTCAGCCACGACGACACCCTCCTGCAGCTCTCTGCCAGCAAAAATGGAGCTTGGGGGTGGTGGTGAGCAGGCTCTGTTTTTGCTGGCAGAGGACTAGCAGAACAAGCTAAAAACAAAACAAAAGGAGAAATGTTTCCCCTTTGGCATTTGGGCATGCAAGAAGGGACAGGAAAGGAAAAAGGGAAAAAGGAAAGACAAAGAAAAATAAGGAAAAATAAGGAAAGAGGGGAAGGAAGAAGAGAGAAGGAAGAGAGAAAGAAAAAGAAGAGAAGGGAGGGAGGGGGGAAGGAAGGAAGGAAGGAAGGAAGGAAGGAAGGAAGGAAGGAAGGAGATTATAATGAAAGTGAAGGAGGGTCTGAGGGAAGTCCTGCCTTAGCACTTGGCCACTGCAGGAGTGATGACAAGCTGGCCACACTCACCCTGGCCATGCCCACCCCGGCCCCTCGTGGTCAAACAGACCCCTGATGCGGCCCTCAATGAAATTGAGTTTGATACACTTGCCCTAAACAAACCATGCAATTAATATCCACATCACCACAAAAGTTGTAACTTTTTTTATTTGGATTTTTTTCCCAAAAAAATTGGTGCTCAACTTAACTCATTGCCCTATGCAGCTCACCTAGTTTGCTGATATAGATAGACCACTCTAACAGAAAAAAAAAACTTATTTATGCTGCTTGGAACAGAGAATCCACATCTGCTTGGAAACGAGAATTTCAATGCCTTTCTGCAGTTATTGTTGTACATGCTGAACAAAAATCTGACCTGCTCTGCAACCTTCACATCTGCAGGAAATATATCTTTTGTTGGATACAACCATCCCATTTCATAACTATATACAACTAAACTTTGTAAAAACCCCAAAAAAGCTTTTCTGGTTTGGGCCAAAGGTCCAAACTAAATGATCGACTAAATGATCACCAAGGTTCATTTTAACTCTTGCATTCTCTGACTCTAAATTGGGGATTGGTAGCCTTTTCAAGCATCAGCATATAAATCCATGTCATGATGAATATGTGCAGATACTATACCATACACATATTTGTGATAGAAAACTGCATCCACTTTTATGTGAAGCCATCGGAATTTCACATAAAAATGTCAGCAGTTTGTAAGATTTTTAGAATTCCCAAACTAAAGAAAACTTGAAATCTTATATATGGGAAGTTATAAGCGTTTGACTCTTAGCAATCCAAGTTCTGTGTTTATGTGGCTGGGGTAGAAGGGAACCAAGCAACAACCTATTGTCATTCATTCAACACTAGCTAATTAGAATAGTGTTTACTCTAGACAATCTATTTCCTATTCGTGGTGATTAAATTTTCAAATTAAAAAATAATTAAGTGATCAAGCCATGAGTTTCACATGATAAAGTTGTTTTACTTCTCTGAAATCTTTAGCAGGCGAGGTAGGACTTTCAGAAAAGTTCTCTGCTAAAATTATTTAACTCTTTGTAGACTTGGTTTCTGCATCTCTTAGCACTTAAAAGCAAAACAGGCTTTTTAAAAAATATATTGTAAGAACATTTAGCCTGTGATCTAAGTGGAAACAATGTGACATGTAATTACAGTAGGGATAGGGATATTTTTCGAGCACGAGTACTGAGTTATAATTCATTGTATATACAGTATGTTGCTTTTGGAGTAGATCTTCTTTCTCATGGACTGTGATTTTGCAATAATTTGAATAATGGCTACCTGTTACTTAATCCTGAAATTATCATGGGAGAATGCAGAGCAAGATAGTGATTCAGTTGTTGGGTTTGAGTTCAAATCTTTATAATAATAATAACTTTATTGTCATTGTACATGTATACACAGTATACCCATACAACGAAATTCACTTAACACCCAAAAACCAGGTCCAACACACATAACAATCCCCAAACACACTCCCACCCACCACAATTCCCCACCCCTAAACCACCCAAACATCCACACAACAGACCAAGTAATGCTGTCCAATAGCTCACCGATGGTGGCCCTTTAGTTCATTGTTGAGTGCAATTATAGTTTTGGGATAAAAACTATTCAGAAAATGTGTGGTCTGAATTTTAATTATTCTGTATCTTCTGCCAGAAGGCAACAGTCCAAAAAGATTGTAAGCAGGATGGGAAGAGTCTCTGAGTCTTCAACTATGGAGTTGAGTGAGCATTCATGTGATTCAACCTAATCTAATTTGCAGCATTGTTGTGTGGTTAAAATGGAGATAGGAAAGGAATAAAATGAAATACAATATTAATGCCCCACATGCTAACTTTCTTCTAAGGAGCTTAATTTGTGTTCATACTCTATGAGATAGGATGGGTTGAGAAAAATGACTCATCTGTCACTCACTGTGCTCTGTGGTCAAGTAAGCGAGCTGCACTGGCTCCCTATTGGTCTCCGGTCACAATTCAAGGTGTTGGTTATTACCTTTAAAGCCCTACATGGCTCAGGGCCAGGTTATCTTTGAGACCGTCTTCTACCACATAGCTCCCAGCGACCAATAAGATCCCACAGAGTTGGTCTCCTCCGGGTCCCATCAGCTAAACAGTGCCGGCTGGTGGGCCCATGGGGAAGGGCCTTCTCTGTGGCTGCCCAAGCTCTCTGGAACCAGTTACCTCCTGAGATCTGGACCATCCCCACCCTATTGGCCTTCCAAAAAACGGTGAAGACCTGGCTTTTCCGGCAGGCCTGGGGCCGTTGATCTCGCTGTTGCGATCTGGCGAGATCCGGCCATGAATGGTGTGAATGGGTTTTAATTGTTTTTAATGTTTTAATTTTTAATGTTTTTATATATGGTTTTTAAATGCATTGTAAGCCGCCTTGAGTCTTCGGAGAAAGACGGCATACAAGTTGAACAAATAAATAAATAAAGTCCTTGGTTTTGGGATTCCAGTCCAGCATTCTCATTGCTACAACATGACTCTAAGTTTCATAGAAATAATACTACAACTGATAAAATGTTGGTGGGCTATGTGTGAGAGAAAGAGTGTGATAACAAAAGAGGGCAATTAATTCATTTTCTATAACCCCCCCCCTCCCAGTTCATTAATGTTCAAACTTTCATTCTGTTCCTCTTGATGTATATGTACTTATGGTATCCATGACAATGGGGACGGGGGTGTTGAGCACATTTTCCCCTTTCTACCCCTTTCCCTTTCTTTGAGGCTGCTTAGGTCTATCAGACCCAGAGTTGGCAGTGGACTTGAATCTAGATCTCGCTAGTCCTAAATAAAACACTTGAACCTATAGTATCCCCAGGGATGCCAGAGCATCGGGTGCTGCAATGCAAGTCCCAATCCTTTTCCAACGATAAGAACCAGAAGGTGCTGCCGCCGCCTTAACCACTCTGCCACACTGCAATCCAAGCTGATTTGTTTATTTATTCTTAGTTTGTGTTATTTGCAACTTTGTTTTAAGGGGAGATACATAATAAGCATTTGAGCAGTTCACTGCAGATATCTATAATGGGTGGAACAAAACGACTCTGCACGTTCCTCAAAAGAAATTTGTTCTTTTTCCCCAGTCCTATTGCGGAACCTCCGAAGAAACCCTCTTACCAAAGTATAGAAAGGTCAGTGTGATTAAATAGTATGGGAAATTAACATTATGGCATTGGCTGTGACTGCGGGTTTTGTATACTGCTGAGACTAGTCTGGATTGAAGTGGCATATAAATTTATCAATACATAATATTGATAGATAAATATATAATATAAACATAGTGACAAACATGTATAACTAAGAAATTAAGAGATTTTTTATCAGTATAGGTTTCCAATAAACCAAGAAGCTTATTGTCCTTCTAGATCAATTTACAATACTTTGACAAGCTGCAGTGGTTTCCAGAAGCAATTTTTTTTTTTTTGCTCCAGCTCCCTCTTGAGACCATCTGGCACTAGAATAGAATAGAATAGAATAGAATAGAATAGAATAGAATAGAATAGAATAGAATAGAATAGAATAGAATAGAATAGAATTCTTTATTGGCCAAGTGTAATTGGACACACAAGGAATTTGTCTTGGTGCATACGCTCTCAGTGTACATAAAAGAAAAGATACGTTCATCAAGAATCATAAGGTGCAACACTTCATGTTAGTCATAGGGTACAAATAAGCAATCAGGAAACAATATCAATATAAAAACACACACATTTCATCTGTTTTTTGAACAAGCCAGGAGGTTTTGAATTGGCTTAAAAAGAAAAAAAAAGTAGAACAAGCATCACAATAGACAGGGCAGGCAATCAGACAACCTCCAGATGATTTTAGGCCTTGACTCTTATTGGCTCCTGCAGCAAGTGCAGGAAAAGGATTTTGAAGCTATAGCCCAAAATATCTAGATGCACCAGGTTGCCTCTTACTATGCTACATAGAAGAGAAGAGAAAAGGACCTAAATTACAATCTATAGTCTAAAACAGGGCTATCAAACTTGCGGCCCATGGGCCAGATGCGTCATGCGCTGGCCACGCCCATGCCCAGTTTAGCAAAGGGGAGGAGTCACAATATGTCACATGACACCTTTGTGACAATGCAGGTTTGACACCCCTTGTCTAAAGGGACCTAAAAGGTCCTTTAATTCTACAGTGTAGAGGTGAATGGATAAAGGGTGAAATATTTTTATAACCCTTTTTTCTTTGTTGGTATTTACTACCTTTTAATTAATGACAACTGAAAAGATATCACGGCATTCCTTTTTTTAAAAAATCCACCTTACTTGGCTTGCAAATGACTTTCTGCCTTCAAACCATGGTTTTATCAGATTGATTTAGAGATATTTCCATGCTTTTTGGAGGAAATGAATTTAGGCCAAGATAGTCCTAAATGTTTTATCTTTGTTGAAAAAGTAAATCAAGGGTCAAATTTTCTTAGGGTTTTTTTTAAAGCATCTTTCCATAATTTTTTTTTTCTTATCTATCTTTTGCTTCTTTGTCCTTCCTGACTTCCTGACAAGTCAATTCAGTTCAGAATGAAGCTGACAATTAGGTGCAGAGAATCTGAAGATCACAATACAGATGACAAAATCCAATCTATGTATTTAATACTGAATGCATAAATGGTGTTTCAGTAAATAGGACTGCCATAGTTGGCATATTGTTGTTGAGGTTGTTTAGGGGAGAGGATAAAGGGTGAATCTTTTCAATGTATTAACTAGAGGGATCGAAGAGCAATCATTCAAGTGGCTAAAAAGAAGATAAGATGCATCACATTCCCAGAGGTGTGTTTCTTTGAATCCATAACCAGTGACCAAATTGTAGCAAGCTGAATCAAATACTGCCTTTCCTGAGAAATCTCTTGTACAGAGGCAATATAGCATGCATTATAGAGCAGATGCTAAGTAAGAACAGTCATTCAAATTCACACCCTGTTTGAGAATTTCTCCCCCCAAAATTGGCCCATCTTCTTTGAAACCAGTAGGCTGGATTTGCTTTCAAAGGAAATAAAAGGTTTTATTTTATTTATTTATTTTTATTTTATTTTAATGTGCATGTATATGTTTTTAAATATATATGCTGCCCAATTCTTTATACAGTCATTAAGAATCATAAAAAGGTTCAATTCAAGGTGTTGATCATCGTTTTTAAAACCCTCTAACAGATTAACAGAGTTGGAAGGGACTTTACAGGTCATCTAGTCCAACCCACTGCCCAAGCAGGAGACCTATGTCTGCCTCTACCTAGGATTGAACTCACAACCTCCTGATTGTGAGGCAAGAGCTCCACCTCTAGGCTACAGCAGCTGTAACCTCTATGGTAGAGGTGGGGAACAATGGCCTCTTTATGGCTTGTGGAGCCATGCTGGCTCAGGAATTCTGGGAGTTGAAGTCCACAAGTCGTAAAGGGGCCATTATTCTGCACCCCTGTTCTATGGCATGAGTCCAGGATATCTGAAAAACCGCCTTTCCCCAAGGGGAGCGGTCCTCCCCACTCATTCTGACAGAAGGGGTCCACTCAGACCCCATCAAGAGAAGAGCCTTTTCTGCCACTTCTTATACTGTAACCCGGTCACTTTAAACAGTAAGATGGATGGCATACAAATTTAATAAATAAACAATAAAAACATCCATAAAACTAAAACTAGACTGAACAGGCGAATGGTGAATAATGTTAATAGCAATGACAATATACTTCGTTTAGGATCCTGAACCAAAACATTCCAATTTGAAACACCAAATATTTATGTTACATATGAAACACTACTTGAAAAGTTTACAGGATTGTGGCCACAAGAAGCTATGGGAAGTCAGAACGAGTCCATTTGCTTCCCTCAGAATTTATCACAGAAATAAGCAGCACAGTAATCTTCAAAATTATTTAGGTGCTTAAGTATTTCAGCTTCAGTGGTACCTGAACATTTGATCATTCCTGACCTAAGAATTGCTTTAGGAAGTGTAATAATCTGGAATATACTGTATCCATAATTAGATTCTCAGAAATCAATTCTATTAAATTAATGGATTTTTTTTCCAAGCTAAATGTATAGAACTTGCCACTTAAAGCTGCTGAATGCCCTTTGAATATAGTGTCGCTTGCACTTTCCAGCAAAACTCAGGTTATGCATTCATGGTAAATTATGCAAATTAAATTTGTATCTACCTGCTTTTCATAATGCATTTTGCTGCTGAGACTTGTCTTCAGGTTTTTGCTACAAGGTGGCAGCCTGAGAACAAAAAAAAAAAAAAAGGACAGGCATTTATTGAAAGAGGCTATCAAATAGGGCAATTTTGGCTTTTCATAAGCTTTAAAGGGCATTATTATCACTTATTAATTGAAATTTAGTCCATCCAGCTTCCATTTCAAAAAAATTTAATCAATCATTGCTTATCTATTTTTTTATAATTTTCTTTCTGTTTTTAAAACAGAGTTTCTATTTATTTTTTTCTGGTTTTAAAAAAATATTCTGAAATTGTAGCTTGTATTTATTTCTTACCCTGTTTCCCCCAAAAGAAGACATCTCCTGGTAATAAGCCCAATCAGGCTTTTGAGTGCATGGCAATAAGGCTAAGCACTTATTTCAGGGTTCAAAAAAATATAAGACAGGGTCTTATTTTTAGGGAAACATGGGTAGTTGTCATTTTAAAATATCCATAGATTTAGGGAATTTCAGAGTTTCTTTCACTTCCTTCCTTTCTCCCGTCCCTTCCTCTTTAATACATACATTTTAATGTGGGTTTTTTTCCCCCCCCTGATGTTGTAAAATCTTTGCACATCAGTGGATTGACCCCTGGAATGATTAGGAGAAGAAACTCTGGTATCTAATAAAAAGTTCTGCTAAGCTCCGTACAGAGTATGGTCTTTAAATGGATGCTAGTGTCCATATGAGAAACATGAAAATGGAACACTTATTAAAGTTGTGATTATCTATGACTTAGCTAACCAATCTACAGTGCAAACTTCTCTTTGATTTTTCTCCATATCCAGTATTTATACTACCAATGTTAAGGAATATGAAGAGCAAGAGCCTGTTGTTGAAGAGAAGATAGAAGTAGAAGAGAAGATAAAACGTGCTAGCCGTGGAAAGAAGAAAACAAAGAAATAGTTTGGAAATAGATTGGAAGGTGTTACTGTTATTTATTTGTTTGTTTATTTAGCACATACATTCATGCTGGTCTGAATTTAATGCAGTTACAGATGTTCAATACAGATATAGCCAAGTGGATTGCATACATTATATAGCAAACCACATCCCAAAAGTATCTGCCTTATTATCATCAACCTTCCCATAAAGGAGCTTCTTTCTTTCCATAAATCATCTTATCTTTCTAAAACATCTGGAGATCAATTCCCAGCAAATATTGCAGATCCTAGCAAGAATCTCCTTACCTTGTTCTGCAGAAATAAAACACCTTTGGAAAGAAAACAAACGTTGTGGTCAGACTGACGTGCAGGAAGCATAGCAAGTTTTGTGAGTTGATAGGGCAGAGAGGCATGGACAGCTAAGATGGGATACAGCAAACAAACAAATGAAATGAAGGGCCATTAGAGGTCATTGAAAATGGAATTAGTTAAATTATCATCATCACTACCCTCATGGTATGGTATACCCTCATGGACCTCATATGAAATCTTATGGGATTTCTAACAGCAATATAGAAAGAATGCCAATATTTTGATATATTAAGGGGTTGTTTTGCTTGAGGAGTTGTTTAAGCATTTGACAGATGATATGAAATAGTAAGGATGAAATTAAGACATGGATTTGTTTTGTTTCGTTTTAGTTTTTGGCACTCACAACCTCCTTCAAAACCATACAATGATGTCTAGCACTTGGAAAAAATTACCATCCTTCCTTATACATTGATCTTCCAGCAAGAAGCCTTAATCTTTTCAGAAACAATGTGTTTTCAAAATTGTGACACACTGAAGTTTTTCAAGAGATCAGATTAACATGGGGAAACATCTAATAAAGAACAATCACATCCATATAGATGCTTAGAACAGAACTGAAGAGAAAAGAAAAAGAAAATGGAATTCTGACTGAATTCTATTCTATACATGAGTATATACAATACTAAAATACAATTTTCACTTGGAATCTTAAAATCCCCTGTTAAATTGTGGACACCTATAGCCTTCTGTACATCATGTTGCAGCAGCTGTCCTCATCCTAACCATAAGTAGAACTGACTAAGGCTGATGAAAGTTGAACAATATTTGGAAGGCCACAATGCTGCATCCCTGTCTCAGATATGAGGGCTAGATTTGACAGGACACCTGGACTCAGCTGTGACACCCAATGGAGACCTTGCACTTCTATCTGATAATAAAGTGAGATTATGACTCACCTTTCACCTTAAACAAATATATAATGTAAGAAATCTATGGTAAAGTACATATGTGATAAATAAATATGTAATCTGATATTGGCCACTGTGTATGTTCAATTTCTCCTCCATACCCTATTTCTCGTTAATAATACCATACATGGAACAAATAATAGCATGCAATATATCATAGATTGAATTTACTCTTTATGTAGCAATGTCTGTAGAATTTCAAAGGGTATGAATGTGTTTATCCAAATCCTTTGATCAGTGCTGGTATCTTAACCATCAGAAACAATGGATATACATGAAGTTGTCCAATAGGTAATGTCAGCTATCAAGCTACATTTAGTCAAACTAATTTGTTACTAGGGAAGATGTTCATTGAAGTAGAAGAGATCATAACCTCATATTAGCAATAGACTGAATTTTTAAGAGATCAACTGAAGTCAGATCTAGCAAAGAACTTATTTAATAAGAAGCTGGTATATCACGTTATCCAGAAAGTGTTAGGACAGTTTTAGTATCTTCTTGACCTGAATGTGCCAAAGAGTTTTTCTGATTAAAAATCTCCAGTTTAAAATTAAAGGCAAAGGTATAGATTATGTTACAATTGATTCGCTATACTTCCAAAACTGTCCAGAGTTACTTGGTTGAGTTGGATGGCTATAGAAATTGAATAAACAAATTAACAACAGAACTTAGTTTTTGGAAAGAAACATTTCATCTTCATTACATTCTACAATAAAGATGATTATTTGCACAATGACATTACTTGCAAAAATGGCAGACCGAAAAATAATTTCTATTAATATTTCCATTTAATTACATTCACATTTTCTGTTATGTTCATGGTAAATTAGTATGGTTTTGATTCCCCCCCCCTCAAACACTAGGATTTGTGTGCATGTATATGGGAGGTTGTCGGTTTTTTCTATTTTGTTTTTCAGTTCGTCACTTTTCAATAAAGCAAGCAAGTGTTGGATGTAATAGCTTTGAAACCAAATGTCCCCTAGAGGCTGTAATAAATTAATATGGGTCTGAAAATTGCCAGAGTTAAAGTGACATTTTACTAGACTTGTTTTCTGTCTTCCCCCAGATACGCACATTCTCATTATCTAGAAAACCCTGCATGAATTTGACATGTGAATTCTGTAAAGAAATAAAATTAGCAAGACGATTATGTGGCTGAATTATATAATAGGAGAATATGTATGGTTGCTTTATTTTGCTTTCTCTTAGAAGCCCGTCATCAAATCCTACAGACTAAGACATGCTTGATGGCAATACTAGAATGACCTTGCTAAAGCAGACTATTATTAGAAGGCCATTGCAGTGTGTGGGTTAGGGGGCCGATCAAGGAAGACCCAAATGCAAATCCTCACTCAGCAAATAAAGTTTTGTAAGATTTTGAACCAGTCATTATCTTCCACCATGATTAAACGTAAAGGGTTGTTGTGAGTGAAAAATAGAAGAATAATGCTATGCATACAAAATAAAATACACCAAATTTCATATCAGTCATGAGTTTTGGTCATCCAATTATTTCTGAGACATCAGTTAGGCTATCATCACTCAATTCCAAAAATATTACACAGAGATTATTAAAAAATTGCTGAGACGAGTTCACATATTAAGCCATAAACATAGTATACAAACCACAATTGATAGATCGAGAAAAATATACAAAGTCAGAACTGAACTACATATTGTTTAGGATAATGTCTGAACTTAAAATGTTTATAAATAAGTCTGTGTCCTCTGGACTAGTTTTCCATCATTAACCGACTGGGAGGAAGTTGCTACCACATAAACTGAGATTTGTGTCAAGTTTCTCCTGTTCATAAAATAGCAAATTTACTCACATACCGGTATATGCTCAGGTTGGGTGGGGAGCTGTCCATGGTAGAATATGCTTGAAGTTTTAGCCTCAACTGAGCCACAAACCAGAAGGCTGCTGCTTGGTGCATTCTGGAGCTTTCATCAGTTGTGTTGCCTGCCTGCCTGCCTGCCCCAGTCCTTAGTGGAGGACTGTATATATTTACAGATAAGACTATCTGTAGATGAACAAACCTTCATTTTTAAAATCAAAATAGCATAAAAATGCAATACTTGCAGACAAGCCTAACCCTCAAAATTTTGTATGTTTTAATTTTTACAGTTGGCTTATCTGCAGGTGAAAATTTTGGATTTATCCACAGATAGACTTATCCACAAGTATATGTGGGGTATACGGGTACTTTTAAAAAACTGAGGGAAAACTCAACTATATATACTCGCTGTAAATCTATTTGTGGATAAAATTACCCACTTGGGGGGTGGGTGGGTATATTTTGGAACCTAAAATTCACAGTTTATCCATGAGTATATACAGTAACAAAAATTCAGCTATCAAAGATAAATAGCTCCTATTAAAAAGGCTTACAGTGAACAGAAAATGCTTCATGAACCCAAGGGATGAATGTGGAAGAAATGGCATTACTTTTTTTTTTCCATATGCTGCTATTAGGGAAGGGGGGACAGAATATATTAACCATGGCAGTGACATGCCACATCCCTTTTCCCAAACAGGGACTTCTGCAAGCTGTTCTACCTGGTAACTTATTCTTTGTAATTGGGACCTCATTCTGGCAGAGAGATTGTAACTTACTACCTCAGCAGTCCAAATCCATCTGGATCTTGGCCTGGCCATATGTTTTCTGCAAAGACAGCATGAATTAATTCATTAAAAAGTCTATGGTATATAACTAATTTTAGTTCTCATTTCTGACAACAGAAAAAGCATCTAAAAGATGTTTGCTGAATTGATACAAATGGAACTTGGAAACAAAAAGTGGAGTTAGTTTATTTGTTTGTTTTAGCTGCTAGATAAACAACTATGTCTTCTTTAAAATTCTTTTTCCAAATATTTTCCTTCTGAAGATCTTGGTTTTCCCCCTGCCAACTAGTATTTTTCTTCTCAGTGCATTAAAAATCATTTTGGCTACCTTGTGTTGCTGTTGCTGTTGTTGTTGTTGTGTGTTGTTGTTCTTCTTCTTCTTCTTCTTCTTCTTCTTCTTCTTCTTCTTCTTCTTCTTCTTCTTCTTCTTCTTCTTCTTCTTCTTCTTCTTCTTCCCTATTTGTCATCACACATTGACGATTTTGCATTCTTAACCATTCTCAAATCAACATTATGGAAGAAGTTCAGTGGGATGGATTCACATACCATACTGAACTACCATTATTTTAGGTTTTGGAATGAGCCACTATATGCAGTTTGCTCCTGCTAGAATCAGACAATCAAAACAAATATAAAATCAAATGAAACACAGCTGCATGTGACAATCCTGCTAAAAAAACTTATTCATTTAAACCCAAACTCAAACACTGTGCCTGGTATATGAATTAATTGTAGAGGTTTCATACCTCTAAGTATGTCTTTTTAATTATGTCCTTCACTCTGTGTGTTAAATTTGAAATAGTTATGGACATGACAAATTCCAAATAGTTCATATTAAATGCACTCCATACATATTTTCTCAGCAGTCACTTTCCCTCATCCAATTATTGAAGGCTATTCTTCCTCTTTGACTTTCTTTCAAAATTATGGGGGCAGCAAAAATCTCCCGTTTTTTTTCCTAGCAGTTTTCATTCAGCATGATGAAAAAGAAGAGTTCAACTTTCTTTCAAAGGAGAACATTTCAATAGCATTCCGTTGGTACAGTGGTGTGTTCTTATTTATTTATTTATTTATTTATTTATTTATTTATTTATTTATTAAATTTATTGGTTGCCTATCTTACCATAGGGTAACTCCAAGTGGTCTACAATATTAAAAAGATAAAACTATACAAATAGCATACTATAAAAATATACATATACAAAATACATTTTTTTTCACCCAATTAAATTAAATATTTAATTCTTGGATTTAGTTTCAAGGCAGTCAAGAAGAATGAGTATGTATGTTAGTTAATACCTTCTCTTTTACTGTACAAGCATTTCTCTACTATATCCATCCTTCTTGCTTCCCATACTTTATTTAAATCACACATAAAGACATCAGGAGAGAATTCATCCATTTGAGTTTTTTCAAAATAGATGTGGGCAGTCAGGGTGGCTACAGAGTGAGGAAAAGATGCATGGTAAGAACTTAAAAAGATCCTAAAAAGAAAAAAAAACAATCTGAAGTTATTCTAAATGAGCTTGATAATACTTTTTAAGCAAAAATTCTGTCACATAGAAATTTAATTGTAGGAAAAATTTTCCCATATTCTATTCTATGGAGAACTTCATTATGAAGTTGGTCTGAGCCACAGCTGATCAATTTTTCTGTGTTTTGTGTGTGTGTGTGTGTGTGTGTCACAAAAAATAAAATGCTGAGGTAACTTGTGTAAAATGCGAATCAGTGTCACCTGTGGAATTACAAAATTCCATTATTAAAATTAACTTTTATCTATTTTCTCATTACCTTCAATTCATTCGTTTATTCATTCATTCATTCACTCATTTAATTTCTATAGTCGCCCAATCAACTAAGTGACTCTGGGTGTCTTAAAATTCTAAAATTTTAAAACAAGTAAAACAATTTGAAAAGACATTCAAAGAATAAAAACATTCACAAAATAAATAAGCAAATTAAGTAAAAGTCTAAATCTGAACTTTGAATACACATTTTTAAATACACTATTTTCCAATGTGTATCGATATTAGAAAACAACAATGAGTCTTTTAAGCACTTTTCCCTCTCTTTTTTTTTGCCAACTCTGTAAATCACATCTGGAATACATCTGTAACGTTAGAGAAAGTGACTTACATACTACGGCAACAGAGCTCTGGGCTTCTTGGCATCTGTCGCAAAGCTGACAGACCAAGGCTATTTATTCATGCATGTTAAAAGAAAGAGGCAAAGCAACTACTATGGTTCAAGGGCAATAATGCCTAAGTGATGGATGATCCCAGTAAGGCTGGAGACATTAACCCAATAGAAAAAGGTATGGTGAACAATGACTCCTCATCTGTATATGTAGAATCATGTGACTCAAAGGTACAAAAAGGAATAAAGAGATTTACTGGATGCAATAAGATCAGATGAGATAGGGGAGGAGAGAGACACACAAAAC